AAGGAGAAAAAAAAGGAGAAAAAAAGGAGAAAAAAAAGGAGAAAAAAAAGGAGGAAAAAAAGGAGGAAAAAAAGGAGAAAAAAAAGGAGGAAAAAAAGGAGGAAAAAAAGGAGAAAAAAAAGGAGAAAAAAAGGAGAAAAAAAAAAGGAGAAAAAAAAAGGAGAAAAAAAAAAAGAGACAAGGTTTAATTAGACGAAACCAACTTTGCTTGTGCCTCATCCAGGCTTTGGTCAGTGATGGTCATGATCTGATGGAGGATGTCGCCGATGTCCTGCTTCCTGCCGTCGCCGTCTGCCCCTTCGTGTCCGTGGGGAGGAGGCAGGGCCATGCCCCCCTGCACCGAGTGGCCGGCCAGGAGCCCTATATGGCTAGTTTTCTTAAAACTTGGCAAGTGGATCTCCTTATTTCTTCCCCTTGTTGAAAAGAGCTTCTGCCTGGAGGTTGCTTTTTGCTGTGCTGCAAAGGCACATGTATTCTCTGCTAATGAAGTATGATGATAGCCTTGCTGGTCTTTGCCCTGCTCCTTGATTTTCTTCCTTGTTGTTCAGCTGTGGTTGATTTTCAATCCTTTTCAAGAAATTTTAATGAGAAAGAATTTTTGCATGGATCATCCTCCCTCCCATTCATAGCAATTGTTATGATTTTCCCCTGTTATTTGAGGCAACAATAGTTGTAAAGAGTCATTACTTACGTGGAAAATTATTACTCGGAAAAAGGTTTCTTCTCCCACTACTATTTCACAGTTTATCAGGCAGGATCAAGCTAAAATGGCTAATCCTATATCCAGTTTGCAGTATGTAAGCCACTTATAATAATCCTGTTTTGAAGTCCAGCAGCAGACATAGGGGGGATTGGATGACTCAGAGGAATAAAAAAGGCTGGGTGAGTATCTGGAAACATTTTCTCGGTCAGTCTGTAAAAGATTAAACAGAGTTTTAACAAAGAGGGAAAAAAAAAAAAAAAAAAAAAATTAATCCCCCTCCCCCCCCAAAAATAACAAACGATCCCAAGTCTGTGCAACGGGGGTAAAACGGCCGCAATCAAAAGTTTGGACTTGTGCAAAGAAAAGAGCGGAAATAACGGGGAGAGAACTGTAAAAAAATTAATTACACACTCTCTGCAAAGCAATGTGCAAAAATATCAGCGCGCCGGAATTTATGAGCCCCGGCGCCCGGCGCCCGTGTGTGTTTTATGTTGTTTGATGGCCGCTCCGGTGAGGGATTGACAGCCTGCCAACGCCACTCACTCACCGCAGCCCTGTCACCCTGTGAGGGAGAGAGCGGCC